TTTATTTTTTTTAAAAGCACATTCTACATCTAGATACATGCATGCAGGGGGTGGGGGGGGGGGGGGGGGGGGGGGGGGGGGGGTTATGTATGTCATAGATGAGAATGAAAGACATCATATTTATTGTGTTCATATCTGAAAGTGCATTATAAACTGCATGCATGTATCTAGATGTAGAATGTGCTTTTAAAAAAAATAAATACTTTTATTTACTCCCAAGTTTTTGTTTCTCGTGGTCTGATAACACTTGTCTTAAAATCATTGCAGATTTTTTAGATAATTTTCGGAGTGGTATGATCAGATACATCTATCATCAGCACTTTGATATACTGTAGTTCAGTCTTTGTTAATGAGTCTCCCACTGTTCAAAGTCCGACACATAAGAGATTTAAAATTCAGCTTAAAGGCCAGAAATTGACAGACATATTTAAAGCAACATTCAGAGAAGGAAAATTCATGTAAAATTCCAAATATTTGTGTGCTTTTGAAAGTCAGAGCTCGTGCTTTTCAGTTAAATCGAATTGATGACGCCGCTTTTCGAAAAGAATCTTCATCTTCGTGCAGATTTTCCGTAAGGTTTCAATGCGATTTTTGTTCAAGTCAAAGTGAATTCTTCCAAGCGTCCAATAAGAGTCGTCAAGGCTCATCTATTTTCGTATTTATTTGCTGGATGGTCATGCATGTGCGACCATCCAGCGGGGCGAAAAGAGGGTACAGCTTCCCTCTGAAGCTTCCAGTGAAGGTGTAGATGTGGAACTTTGTTTCTGCGTTGTAGAAGGAGATCTGGCCCTCTTCGTAGTGTAAGTAGATCCCCATGCGTCGAGGCATGAGGCCGACGGGCAGTGGAGTCTCCGGCTTGGTGCAGGCGTAGAACTGGTTTGTGCTGCGCCACAAGACCCAATAGCCCTGCTTAGGGGTCATGGGGAACCGGCCCTGGCGCTTGGAGTCGGCAGTGGTCAGACCCACGCGGCAGTAGCCATTTTTGGCTATGTCTACCTCCCAGTAGTGGCGGCCGCTGCTGTAGCCCTCCCAGCCCAGCACACAGGGCCAGCCGTCGAAGCGCTGCAAGTTGTGAGGCAGGTCGGACTCCGAGTGGCCCTCCTGGACCATACGCTGGTTCTCTGACAGCTGCAGCCAGGGGTGGTTGGTCATTGGGTCCAGAATCACATCAGCTGTTCGGAAAAAGAAAGGGGCACAAATGAGTGTGTCGTCCTGTGATTGATATGTTTGCTTTTTCTCTGTGAGATAAGATGAAGATAAAACGTAGGCTGATCTTACCTGCTGCACTGCAAATCCAAGTCCAAACTGAAATTGAGACAAAATCGTAATGTATAAACCAGAAATGTTCATTGTACATAGTCTAAACTAGTGATTTCCAGGGGTCGCAAGGTGATGATTACCAGAATAGGAAAAACTAAATTCTGCTACTCAACATTATCTTATATTTTTGGGGAAATTTTGCCTGTTGTTACTCTTTTTGTTCTTTTGAAATACTCTTCAGGTCCTCTGCAAGTTATTCTCAGAAGGAACAGTAGCTCTTAGATTGAAATGATTATAACTCATTGCAACACAAACTGTGATGAGTGCTGGCTTGAAGGAGAAATTACTTTATATTAACAGATCACAAGCAAAATAGGTTGGGGACCACTTGTGTCAATACCAAGCAGAAAGTATAATAATAATTGTACTTTAAGCTTGGGTAAATCAGTGTCATTTAGATTTTAAAAAAAATGCGCACCTGAGTTGGGGATGTATCTTGGAATTCCTGCTTTCCAGGTCCTTTGCTTTGCCAGTAACCACAACTGTGGAATCATTTTCTGAAAAGGAAATCATAAAAATGTTTCATAAGAAAGAGCATTTCTATGTAGCCTCTCGTTGTGACCATGCAATTTCAAATATCATGTCAATGCTGTGGTGACCTTTTCAGGGAAACTGCTTTTGGCTGGCTGTGGTGATACCACTGCCTTTATGAAAGCAATGAAGACACAAGGTTCATTGCACTTTTTACTCTTCAACACTAAATGAAAGCCCTGAACGTCATAACCACACACGTAGTGCAAAGGGCGGTGTATTGTTACTGCACAAGTCATGTGACGTATTCATGCCTTAACTACGGCTGAAATACACACTGGAACACTTATCAGGGACATTTAATGTTGCAATGTATCATGTCAGAGGCAGATCAGATATAAACTAATCACCAAGTTCATTTATTGATGCTCTGCACGCATTCCAAGAGCAGGGTTCCCTCAAATCACACGTTACATAAAGTTGTTTCATAACCACGCCATGTCTGCACTGCGTGGTATCATTTAACAACTGCTTGTTTTATTTTCTTTTTCTTTTTTAGACATGAACCTGAGTATGTTTCTTTGTGTGACTCGGGGGTTTCTCACCGTGCAGTCCTCTTTGAGCAGAGACCAGGTGATGAACTCCAGCAGAGGCAGCAGGTTAACCAGACGTTTCTTCTTCAGGCCGAGCTGACGCAACACTTTACCCACCTCGTCGCGCTCAACACCGCAGCTCTGGAAACACCAAAAAAAAAAAAGATTCCTTAAAAAACAAACACGTGACAATAACTCTGACAAAGTGCTTGCCGGCTTGAGAGTAAAACTAAATAATTGTCCTTTGTTTTTCTGCTTTTGTTCATTTCTGTTGATAGCAACTAATACAAAAACGTTTTTGGGACTTTCAAGGTTTTAATTTTAGGACTCCTCACCTCAGTCGCCTTTTGCAGCTCCTTTGCCCACTCCATGATCCTCATTTGTGCATTCTCATTGGCATCCTCTTCTTTATTTTCATTCTCTTCACTCTCTGATGCCCAGGGCTTCTCCTTCAGGAGCTGAGGACACAAATGCAGGAAGTTGAGATTGATATTTTTGCTTGTTTGTTACATCAGAATATGTTTCCTTTCACGACCACGGCTGTTACAAAGGTTGCACCTTCAATCAGTCATTGAATAGTCACTGTATGGTCTTTTTTTTGAGCACCACAATACTCAATCACACATTGGCTCGTGTGTGTGTGTACTGACCTTGTCGACATGGTGGAGCTCGTCGACCCACTCCAGGATCAGCTTCCTGCTCTCCTCGAGACTGCGCTCGGCGCGGCTGTCTGAACTCTGGGAGTCTTTCTTACTGGTGCCCTCCTCTGGATCACCACTGCCCTGCTTAAACACAACACAACACACTGTCAGATGATGTCATACGCTCTTAAAAACACAATGGTGGTGTCACCATGACAATAAGATGACAGTTATCGACAGTAATGTGAGTTTCAAGGCTCAGGAAAATTGGGCACTGAGTGTTTTTGTTTACACTAGCTAATATTATGAAAGTCATATGAGACCCTTGTACAGATATGGTACATTACGTGTCTGCCCACCCTGCATGTCTAAGCGCTGCAGGACAGAGGGTCATGTAACCGGGCTATAAAAGAGTCAATAAACGCGTCTGCTTTCAGCACACACCCATTCAAATAAGCAAGTCGTCACTCTGCATGACCAAGCAAAGCAATCGTTTCCCATGATAAATACTGCTTCAGCTGACCTTACAAGGCGTCGTAACTGTGGGCATTAAAAACGAAACGTTGCACATTTGTGAACTTTTAACAGCCAAGAGCCTGCGATGCCTTCTTCCTCATTTCCCTGACAGAGTCAAAAAGGCTCTCATCCTGTTTGTTGACATTTTACCTGAGCTGGCAAACAACAAGCGTCTACATGAATAAGAAACTGAAGGATGATAAAAGGGGAAACAAACATGAGCACTTCCTTGTCTTGTTTCTTAAGTCTCTTAAGATATTCACACAAACCTTTCTGTATTTGGTCTTTGCCTTCTAAATTCACACGTGATACTGCTGTTAATGGATAATATTGTACAGAATTGTAATTTCCCTTTCACCTAATAAGTCAATAAGAAACCTACAGGTAGCTCAGACTGCTGTGGCCACATTAACTGAAACAAGAACATGGATCACATTTCCCCACAGCTTCAGGTATCCTTATATGATTGATTGTAAAGTTCTTTATAAAGCTTTAAAACTTGCTTCTCTCTATATCCAGAGATTTTCTTTCATTTTCCTGTTCCAGCCAGATCACCAAGGTCCTCCACTTCTTTTCTTTAATATGCTCCTTATTCGTCACATAAAGGTACCGGTAAGATGCCTTCTGTTTTTATGCCTCTGATATTAGAGCGACAGGCTCTCTTTGTATTTTCAAAAGGAAATGAGAGAACTTTTAATTTTGGAGTATCGTTAAATCCTTCGTTTTTAAGCTTTTATCATTGTTTTTTTGCATTATTCTTTTATTCCTGTTGTTTGCTTTATTTTATTCTATTTACTTTAATGATTTTTGACATTATATTGTTGTAATCTTTAGTCTTTCTTGGGGCTGCATGTTTGTATGAAAGATGCTCGATAAATAAATAAATAGAAGTTTTTCCCTTCCTTTTCTCATGTCCTACCTTGCAGACTTGATCCACCTGCTCCTTCCAGTGATGGATGAACTGCACACACTCCTGCAGGCTGCGTAGATCCTTCAGACCGTTCTGACGAGGATGTTGCTGCAGGAAACGTAACAGGTCACATTTACATGTTTATTCCTACTATAGGCTTTTTTTTTTTTTTAAATGGTGAAACAAAACAGAATCACTGAAATAATATAAATAGAGAAATATCAGTTTAATCAAAATCCAGGATGTTTTGATGTACCGTGTGTTTGGTGAGGTTGTTGGCGCCTCTGCTGGGGGCCGAGCTGTGAATCTGGACGTCCTCCTCGGGCAGCGTCCAGCGTACGGCCCCGATGGTGCTGCTCTGGGTGCTGCTGCTGTCACCCAGCTTCAGCGTGTCCACTCCTGCAGGGGGACAAATTCAGAAGAAAACAGCGTCTTTTGAGTTCCAGTTCATATCCGTTCACACGGCTGATTTCCAATACAGACATCCAGAAACAAATTAGGGAAAAAGGAAGGTTTACTTTCCCAACAAAGGAAGTAAATCAACATGACAGCGCATTGATATTCCAATAGTAATAGAAAATATAATTAATAGTGATTCAAAGTGGCTTGAAGAGTGTCGGCAATCAATTATTTACAGACACAATCAAAGACTTTAAACCCTGAATGATTTACTGTAAACATTTATGAGCATCAGATTGGATGTAAGCTCCATGACGTCGCATTATTTGCCCAGGGTTCGGGCACAGGTTGTAAATTATCGAGCATGAATGTAGAAGAGAAGTGGCATCGGCAGTGATTGAATGAAGATATATATTTTTTTAAAAACCTACTTTTAGCAGTTTTCAGGATACTCTTCATCTCCATGGTGGCGTCCTCACAGCTGTGAAGCAGAGGATAGTACAAATGTAATGCGGATGAAAGAAGTAAAAGCAGCAATACAGAAATATTAAAATACAAGTAAATTACAAGTAAAAGTCCGGCATTGAAACTGTAAGTAATATTAGCAAAATGCACTTTATGTGTCGAGAGTAAAACGGCCCCTGTCAGCTGTTTATATTGACTATTTTATCATTGAATCATCATTGAATCATTTTTTACTGATGTGTAAATGTGTAGTCGGAACTAATTTAAACTATTTAATTGACTGTTAAATCGATAGCAATCGAGCAAATATTTCCAGATTTACGTTCTCTTTGTTAAGAAAATACACAATAAGTTAAAATATTTCAATGGAAATGTGATACAGCTACAGAATGTTGAGAAACATACTATTGTTGTAAAACCTAGATGTGATACACTTGTAAAGACGTACAAAAAGCTATATATTTGATTTGATATTTTACTGTAAATGACAAACACATAATTTATTATATTAATCATTTATTTAGATAGAATTCTGTGATGCCTCAGTATACATTTAGTGTATGAGAGCTTTTCTCAAGTTTAGAAAATAATGCTTTTTCTTCAGGTTTGTGATCACATTAAAATGATAATAATTGAATCTATACTGAATATGAATTCAGAAGAAAATGTTAATATGTTGTTATATATGTATAGTCATATCACACAGACCTGTGTCACAGACATATATCACAGTGTATTGTAGGCTGGTATTTGTTTCATACCTCTTGTCTGAGGGAGCGGTGGTGCACCTCTGCTGGTGGAGACGACTGGACCGCCGCTGCGCTCTAGTCAGCGGTTTTGTTCCTCTCTGCGTCTCTCTGATCTTTGGACTTTTTTATGGCCTCTGAGGTGGCGATGGAAAGGTCTCTGACACGAAATCTAACGGCTTCCCGGAAACTGCTGGCACTATTCCGATAAGGGCACGTATATAGGCCTGATTTATTTTATAACTCTAAAATAAAAAAGATTAAAAGTAAAAATACTCACAATGCATAAAAACAGCCCTGTGAGTGAAATAGATATATCATACAGGATTATTATTACTGATGCATTAATGTGTCAGCAGCATTTCACTGTTGAGCGAATTGAACCACTCCATATAGGCTACTGTTGGGTAGTTTCATAAAACAATGCATCATAAACGGATAACGTAACCTATAAGTACGTCAAACCTTTACATAAGTACTGCACTGATTACAGTGGACCATGACTGTGACGTCAAACAGGGTTGTTGCGTGCAAGTAATAGAGAGGGTGTAGTTGAAACAACGTTATGCAAACGTTGCTGAACGTCTCATAAAGCGAATTTCTTGGAGGGAAACAATAAAAAATCAAACCACGCCCTTTAGCAAGCAGTTTCAGATTTATTGTCAAATGCGGGCAAATCTGTGACACTAGAACAAATGTAAAAAAAAAAGAACAAAAAATCCAAACTCATTTCAATTATAATCCTTAAAGTCTCAACAGAAGAAACTTGTTTGCATTCATAAAAGTGGCATCACATCTCTTCTTCGACCAGTTTCAAAACAAGCCAAAGAGTGCTCTGTCAGCACGGTACCTTACAAATATGTACATACAAGTAAATGCGTATAAAAAAAAATGTTTTCTACGTCAGATGCTGTCTGATTTCAGATGTTACAGCTTCTCCTCGCTTGCAGGATTTTGTCAAATGTTCCCGTGAAATGTTTTAGTTCCAGTTCAGGAAGAACTGCTTGAAGATGATGGTCTCCTTCCCCTGTGGAAGTATCTCCACCTGCAGCACAATACACAGACACGTTTACAGCTGGCGGCGATAAACTAGACCTCGTGAATAATCCTTTAAAATCATTACAAGCTGCTGTAAAGGCTGCAGGAGCCAGAGCTGGTGATACACAACTATAGTGGGAGAGCAGCTAGAATAACATTTACAGGAAGTGAGAGACTAGTAGAGTTTAGAATCAGTACCTGTGTTTTCATCCTGGGGTACTTCATTTGTTCGATGAAGTTATCCGCCATCTGTAGGGCCACCTGCTTCTCCTCATCATTTGCTCCAGTACCTGACAGTCAATCGATGTCTCACATTAGCTCTGGCAGTTTCATATACAGCATATTGTTAGTGGATCCTCATCAGCCGCTAGTAGCATAACAGCTACTCCTTCTTGTGTCCACAGGAGAAAATAACTACAGCAGTTTCAAGTATATACATGTCATTTTCAATCAGAGATTAGCAGCTAAATTTAAAGTGATTTTTGACACTGTGCAGTGGACAGAATGAGACTGTACGGTAACTAGAAATAATGCTGGTGTCATTTGCGGCCTTGAGACTCTCCTCCCTGTGAAAACTGTCAGCCATTATTTTTCACAATGCTCATTAAAATTTGATCCGATTAGATACCGAATATATCACATGGCATGTATAACAACTATCACTTTCCTCGGTATGCATTTCAGGTGCCACGAGTTTGCTGGTTCGGGGTCAAGTGGTACTTCCTCACCTTTCCAGACGAAGATCTTTCCGTTGGCGCCGTTGTCCAGAATGAAGCAGTCGTCACGAACCAGCAGATCCTTGGCAAACGGGCTCTTCTTCGACACTTTGGTCATGGTCATGGAACCTGTCGCATCAGACACCTGCGGAGTGAATGTACACATTTTTATACTTGAATTATGTAAACGGTGGTTTGATGCATAGGTTTTAAAAGCTTTGCAGACGACGTTACCTTGTAGAGGGAGGCAGAGTTGGAAGCGTCTGCTTGCTTGTCCTCCTCTGGTGTGCTCTCTGCCAGCTGAGGCATCTGACCCAGGACCTGCTCAGCAACAAGAACAAAAACATCCACAGCTTGTTTTTCAGGATTTCCTTCAGTTGATTTTCAATCATTTTTGGTGATTGACCTGGATATGTGCTTGTTTCCTTTTTGAGTTAATTGTTCATATATATACATGTTGAATTAATTTCGTCAGTGACTTTAAAAGGGTTACAATAACCTGCTGAATCTATTGTTGTCCTCACATTTAACTCGCTTTCAGTCTTTCTGGCTTCTGATTGGTCAGTTGAGTCACATGAAGATGAGGGAAGTGTGAAGAACAATAAAGTAATACTGCTTAAGAACGTTTTCCGTCTCCTTCCAGATGATTCTTCTCAACAAGAGTGATCCAACCGCCGCATATTGAACCCTCACGTCACACTAATTATGAAACTGCAGGCAGCAGACGGTCGGCTTAGAAGAAACAAAGGGAAACAGCTGTTCTGCCTCTGTTCAAACCAGGCCTTCTAAAGCTCACTAATTAACACATGCATAGCATGAAGACATGAGGGTGCTTACGTTTTTTGTTATCTAAATCCTAGGCAGAAAGCAAATTGGTGCATTTCAGAAAATGTCAAATGGTTCCTTTAAAAGGATCTATGTCCTTTATAATTAAAACGATTTTCATTTACATAATTAAAGTGCATCCGCACCATCCTGGGTTGGATTCCAGACTTGGGACCTCATGTAATTCCCCTCTCTCTGTCCCCAAATCCAGTCTGGTTTTCTACACTGTCAAATATAAGCAATACAAATAAGACATAACGTTTTTTTTTAAAGTGTGCATTAACCTTCAGCATCTCCTCGGGCTCGTCCCCCTCGTTGATGTCCACAATGCGGGCTTTACCGTGTCTGTCCGTGTCACGGATCAGCGAGGCGATCTCGCGCACCATCTGCTTCTCGAACATGTTGGCCTGCGACCCGATCCACGACACGATGGTCTGGAGGGCCAACGAGACAGCATGAGATCACAACAACTGTCACATTCATATGATATTCATATTCACCTCGTGCAATTTGCAGATTCACAATCAACTGTATTTTAGATCATAACAGTAGATACTGAGTGCTTAGGCCAACTTGTGAAAGCTGACAGATGTTTTAGTTTCACCTCTCCAAGGTCGAGGATGAAGCAGTCTCCTTTGTTGAAGCTGCTCCAGGACAGCTCCACCTCCTTGGCACGGATGTTGCGTTTCCCTTTGATCTGGTACAACCTCTGCACCGTCCCGGAGCTCTGAGTCCTCCTGAAGCCCGACTCCACTCCGCCCACCTGTGAGAGACATGCAAGGGATATTCATGTCAAGGCATTGAGGCTTTTAGGTTTATTTTGTTATGTTTCACATCATTTTTCCTGCTGGGAAATGAAAGCTGTAACATGGTGTGTTTTTAGCAAGCTCAACTTGGCGCCCTGCGAATCGAGTTGGGTGAATGAACTTTGGAAAAAATGTCCATAATATCCGGGGCGCTGTAAAGTCATAAAAGGGATTAAGCAATAAAAAGATGGCAGATAAAATGTACAAAAACTATAATATTGAAAACAATAATTCATTCATATTACCTGGGTTGAAGGTGATCTTTCAAGGAAATTCTTATTTTCCTATTTTAACTATAGTTTATACCAAATTGCATCTTTCTTTCATTTAAACTTTCGTGGAAGGTTTTGTTTGACGGTGGAGATATTTGTTCTGTGAATTTCTCTCATATTTCGATGGCGTTTAAAGCGTCTGAACATGCAGAATCGGGTCTATTTCTTCCTCACCTTGTAGCTGACGCCTCTGGGGAAGAGGGCCATGAACTCCGGGGCCTCGTAGCCCTGGACGTGCCTGTGCTGAATGGGGTCACCGCTCAGAAAGTTGTCCAGCTGGGTGGCCAGCATGGCGCACGCTACCTGCTCGTCCCTGGACGACTTCTCACCTACCACAGAGAAGAGGTTAGTAAGAGAGGAAAGAACTGATTATTGAGTTCACAAAACTGATTTTATCTTTTTCTTCATGCATAACACATGTAGGCGACCTTACTTTCTGTTCATAGTTTCTGATTTATTCTTAATGAACCTTTTGGTTTATTAGAGGGGAGTGATCTTTGAATAACATGAGAAAAAAGAAGAAATCATGAGGAAATGAGGCCAGAAAGGTTAACATGCCACAGTATGAGGAACAAAGAGCCGCTGACAGAGGTGATGGGTCATGGAGATAAAAGAGACGAAAAGCAAACAGTGTGTCGGCCAGCGGACGCACAAAGGCAACAGTGTCAGTTGTAAACAAGTGGAGGAGGGAGGGAGGCTTCATAGAGACGCATGCTTGAGCACAGAGAGCCGTCTCCAAGCTATAACAATCAGCTTAGTGTTACCTAAGCACCGGATACATGCTGGAAACAACAGCCACATTTGAGTACTGTAGCGGTCCTGCATTTTTAATGCCCCCCCCCCCCGCTCCAAAACCATCCCAGTTTCCCTCGGGACTTCTTACTCTCTCCCTCCTCTCATCGTCCCTCCTTCCCTCTCCATCCAGCCTCTCTCCTCATGTGTCATCACCATTAGTGGGATGAAGTGTGCACATATGTCTTTTTTTGTTTTTCTGCACCGATCACCAAGTCAAATTTCAATCCATCTTTTAATTTGATGAAAAAAAATGATTCTGATTGTGTTGTTTTCTTCATGACAGATGTTATTAACCCAGATGTTTCTCTCTCACCTATCCACATGTGGAGGTCGGCTCCCAATTGACCACGGTTCTCCAGCACCAGGTAGGAGTCCCCGTCATAAAAGGCTCCGACCTCGGAGGGATCCAGTGGCACCGCCTTCATCTTCTCCACCCTCCACACTCGGAGGCCTGGCTCGCTGACCTCTGGACCAAACTGACCTGGTGCTGCCTTGGGGAGCATACTGCAAGGAGAGAAGAAGAAGAAAAGGACGGTAAGACAAAAGGAAAGGGGACACACTTTGCTGTAGAGAGGGCAGAAAATATTAGGGAATTGTCTCCACCGACTGATAAATGTGATTTTTTTAC